TATATAAAGCACGCGGGTATGCAGCCCATTCTTATATGCTCACCAACGATGAATAAACTGGTGTATGCGACAGAGTATGAAGACCACTATGCCGGTTCGCCATGTTGGACTGGTGCTCAACACACCTGGAGCATCCTCTCTAGCCGGAACCACAAAAGCTGCTGCTACAACGCACAAACCTCTCCGAGATCAATACTAATAACTCTTCCGCGAGGAAACACCCGTCCGGGAAACCATGTGGTACCAGCAATCATGATCAAGGGCGTTTCCTTGAGCGGAGATTACTGTGTTATCAAACGCAACGCCGTCAAAGCCGATAGATAAGAGGTAATAACACGTAGGCCAAACTCATTCTACAGGTCCAGTGAATTATTCAACGTTGCAAATACTTTGTCACAACAAATCTGGTGATTTGCGTTTCCCATGCCTTCCTCCCCTCGGTTTAGGATAGATTAAAACTGTCAACGTCCACATTGATAGTGGTCGATAAAAAGTTATAAAAAAAATACATTCATTACAAATGTGTCTGCAAAAACATTGACAACAGTTAGCAATAATTGAGCCAAGGTTGTCTAACAGATTAGGAGCGAGATGGGGGCGAGATGGCCGAAGTGGTTAGAGCGCGGATTTACTAACCTGAAGGTCCGCGGTTCGAATCCGACCTCCGCCACTCGACTTCCCCTGTCTAGGCTTGGGCAACCTGGCAGTATCCCAGCCCTCGTGCTCCCTTCGGGTGGCATGGCAGCTAAGCACCGGAAGGGTGCTACAGCTGAATGCTTTATCTTTCTCTTTATCTTATTTAACAGATTAGGACTTACTCTGAGAGCGAATTTGAATTGATTCTCTGCATGATTCATACAGTTCATGGACATTGCGTACAGTCCAATTAGTGTGTGCAGCTGGGGTAGTCGTTTGTACATGAGAGCCGGATTGGCATGACAAATGCGACAGGCTTGACCGATGTCTTGTGCGGCGGCTGTCTGTACACCCATTACAAGCCGACCCATCGCGGTGTGCTCTAGCAAGCTCAAGTGAAAGACGGTTAACAACGGACTGGTGTCGAATACGTAAAGTTTCTCAATCTGGGTCAACGCCTTCTCCGCGGACCGTCTGGCTCGTTCCAACATTCCGGTTTGCATTGATTGCATCACGGTTATAAGATAGACCAGGATAACCATGTGTTCACGGGGCATCCATTGGAAACGATCGATTTCGTTGGTCACTGCTGCATCTGAAACTGTGGGGGGGGGGCAAACGTTGGGATGGCGTTGGTGCACACATTGAGTTCGTGAACAAAAACGAATAAAAAACATAATGGGTACGATAAACTCTACAATATGTCAAAAGCGAGAAACATCCGATGTAAGTGGGAAACACGGGCCAGTCATTTGCTACGATTCGTCCCATTTCGCCTTTTAACTTGAACCCAAAGGGAATAGTCGCCTCTTACACAGTCACTCTGACTAGTTCTACCCTTTGAAAGCAAGCAACTTCTGTGTGAAATATTGGAAGGTGTTTTTAGTGACTTTTCATGATCAAATGAAGTTAAGTTCTTTTCCAAACTTGATTCAAACCGATCAGACGGTCTATAAAACACAGTGCAGTGAAGCCTTTTTACCACATGGCAGTCAAAACGACTGTCGGCCACAATTATGACGACATGATAGTACTATAATAATCGTTCTGCTGTAGAGTCCCCTCGACATATAGCTGCCATACCACCCGAAAAAAGCACGTAGACTGAGATACCATCAGGTTACCCAATCATCATCAGCAGCGGCATCATCATCGACAGCATGACATCAGTGTTCAATACCGATGCTTCACTGCCTTACAACCATGACTTGAAAGCCTTATTGTAAAGAAAAGAGTAAATATGGACGCGGGAGGGACTTAGTGCTAGCTTAACACAATCATTCCGAGGTGCCTACACCTCCAGACATTCACTCAGGCAATCTGGATAGAAACTGACAACTGACAAGGTTACCCAAGCCTAGACAGGGGCAGTCGACATGCTGAGGTTAGGTTTGAACCACAGACTTTCCGGTCAGTGAGTTCAGTAAGTTTGCTGAGTAGTGCCGTTAGATAGAGAAAACAGTCAAAGTGGATTTTCATAAAGGAAACTACTCACAAGGTTACTGAAAACTCTTCGACAGCCCACGACAGGTTTTGCCCTTCTTGGGGCTCATCCGGTAGGCGCAGTCCCCGAGTTTCCGTCAACCTTATGATCTAATTGAACCCAAATTGCACTGTTTTCGAGAAATACAGTCGTTTGCAAATCGATTCGGTTTTCATAAGAGACCCAAAGGAATCTCTCGTTTATGAGGCGGCCTGTGTGCAGCACATTCAGTTGTAGAATATCATAAACGAGTCAAAGTGGATGCTTCTATTTAAGGGTAGTTCGGACTCAAACTATCCTAGTACTAGGCGATTATTAGCGTGAATTGAGGCTTCAACCTCACTAGTGCGAAACAGAACCTATTCAATACGCACCACAAATGGATCATGAAGGCGACTGTTCTACGACTCATCTACTGAAAAACTCTCCTGAATGGTCCGTCTTACGCTAACACACGAACTGCTTGCCTGCCAATTTAAAGGTTCGTCGTTGTAAAAATCTAACCAGACAAGCTACAATGTACCTGACAAAAGCAGGAAGAGACGGGGGTGGGGCGAAAATCTCTTTGTTGAGGGAAAAATTTTCGACCAATCAGGGACAAGGGTTTATCATGTCCAGAATCGGCTTCATCCGCTGCTAACTGAGTCATAGGTGCGGCTCACCAGTTATAGTCGTCCAGTGTAGTAACCCGGAAACAAACAATTACATGACGTGCGGTGACATACGGAGCAGTGCGCCAAGCGGAAATCGAACCTTTGGTTCGATTCCAGCCAACGGTAAACAAAAAATATGGAAAAATTAACCCTTGAAGGTCACTGGCGGTCAAGTTAGCTCACAGAAGGGCGTTAACCCCAATTTTGAAAAGCTTGGGAATGTAAGAAAGCTGGAATACAGTGGGAGGTAAAGTTTTCAGAGTACAGCTGTTCTGCGGAAGGATGAAGAGACAAGTTCAGCAACGCGGCACGAGGTTGCGGGTGTCGATGGAGGAACGATCAAACTTTTGCGAAAAGAGTACAGCTGATGCGTGTTCTAAGGAATATGTCATGGAAGTGGTGACAGAGTGATGAGAGGAATACTATACCCTGATGACGTGGAAAAAGTCACAGGCTGTATACAGAGAATGGGATGACGGGGCGAATAATCTCTTTCAAATACGGTGAAAGATTGTAAGGAAGGCGGAAGGGAACAAACCCAAGACGTACTCCATGGTAGGACAAATCTGTGAGTTATGGAGGACAAGTGGGGGGATATATGAGCGGGAAAAAGAGAACCCACACTTATGGACGCATTTGACATGGGTAGTCCCCAGTGGGAACGATGAAAGCCGGGAAGTCTGTGAATTGGTAAACTGCGAGAGGAACATAGAATTCTGGACAGAACCAGAGGAAAAGGTCGTTTGAATTTGGTTGTCGGTAGTGTGAAGAGGTTTGAGAATTTTGGTGGAGATTCCGTCATGTAAGTGAAGCCAATCTATGTTCGAGGAGCCAGTCAACACGTGTGACCGAGTGATGTGGATCCCGTGATTGAAGGCTAAGCGACGCCATATCCAGTCTACGTGTGAGTTAATCGCAATGCGTAATTAGCCACTCGTGGACGAAGGGTTAACCATCCAAACTACTAGCTGGGAGGCCACGGGTTCGAGACTCTCTGGAGTTTCGTGAGATGAGCACTGCTGATGAATTCCAATATAGATGAAACAGCTATACAGTGCTTCTCGGCTTTTCAGCACAGATTGGCTTCATTTACAGAACGATAGTTCCAACAGAGTTTGGTTGTTGATCAGGTGGCATGTGGTCTGTTCACCGAGGTTGGCAATCGGCTTGCAAACGTTCCATCAGCATGCGTTCTGCGCAATGACCATGTCTACTCGTATGCAGACGAACTATCAAGCAACAGATCAACTACCGCTTGATCAACAGCCAATCGTTCCACCTATGCTTTCAATATTTAGGCACATGGCCTATAGCAAAAATAGGGTTGAGGAAAGAACTCTTGTGCCGCAAGCCGTGGAAACAACCCGTTCAATGCGCACGCAAATCAATTGATCACCCAAGCAGCTTGCCTGAGCATTATCAAGTGTAGTCCGCAGACCGGCACCTCGATGAATAGATGAGCCTGTCCTTCCAAGAAGCTAAGTCGTATTCAGTGGTTAGAGTGCGAATTTACTGACCGGAAGGTCTGTGGTTCGAACCCGACCACTGCCTTTCGACTTCCCCTGTCTAGGCTTGGGCAACCTGGCAGTATCCCAGCCCTCGTGCTTCCTTCGGGTGGCATAGCAGCTAGGCACCGAAAGGGTGTTACAGCTGAACAATTATCAAACTTCTCCAACACAGAAGACCACACGTGAGACAAATCCTTACAGATTTCGTAAAACGATGCGTCTGATTCCGTGTTTGAGACTTTTGTCATAAGAGTATCGCGTCCTACCCAAGTAGTAGCTGTCTTATCGGTAAATATTCCAGGAATTTGGAGAAAATGAGACTGAATGAAACTAGAAAGTGGCATGTTTGGGAACAGGGAGAACATGAGGTCAGTTTCTAACAAGATGAAGTGTCCGTTGAAAACTACAAACTGAAAAGGAAAGGCAGATACGGTCTAATTCAAGTACACATCTCTGGACGCATTCAGGATCGAGAGGTTTGGAAGAAGGAATTCACGTAGGCTTCATGTTGAAATGATGAGCACTTCGAAATGCAATAATGAGGATTGGATAGACATATCAGAGGGTGGAAAGATGTTGGAATTATGAGCAAGGTGATAACCAGAGATATCCAATTCTGCTTACGAAATGATGACATCAACGTGACCGAAATTGTTGGATACCAAGGGTGGCAAAGACCAAAACTGACTGATCTGCTCAGGCTCTAAAACAGAGCATCGTCATCAGAGGCGCATTCGATATCTGTCTGCTGATACTTTGGGTAGTTATTTGTTATCCAATGTGTGTTTTGTTGTAAACCGACCTCTTTCCAACAGTCCTGCCACTGGTGGATGGAAATTACTGTCCAGGCTGTGACTAATAATCCATAGTTAATATAGTCGTGAAAGTCTGGGAAGGAGAGCGGAGAGCGTCCTATGGATCAGTTGTTCATCTGTAACACCCCTTCGGTGCCTAACTGCCATGCCACCAGAAGGAAGCACGAGGGCTGCCAGGTTTCCCACGCCTAGACAGGGAAAGCCGAGAGAGAACCACGGACCTTCCTCTATGAATCAATATGAATAGAATAGCTGTTATTAGCTCTAGAGAGCACCGTTGTCACAGCTTTTGGCGTGAACTTTACTTTGTGTGACTGACACTAAAATAGAAGACACCACTAGAAACCGTTTGACAGGATTCTTTTAGGGGTGACTCTTTTGAAAAGGCTGTTCATCTGAAAAGCCAAGGGGGTTTTCTACTCAGTCATAACCCGGTATGCGACCCTGGGTGGGGAGGGAGGTCGAAAACCTTTACTTTGGCAGTTTCTCACAGAACGGGCATACCTTCTTCCATAGCGGCGAACTGCTGAATGCTCTGGTGCAGCTGTCGAAGAATCGGTCGTGCGGATTTGGCTTGCCCCGAGATGAGATAGAAGGAGACGTGAAGAACCAAGTAGAACACCCTCAAAGCTTCTTTGTGATAACCGATGCCTCGAAATCCGTCAATCATTTGACTGACAACTGTCAGGGTGGTGGTAACCTCGGGAAGTTGACGGCTGGCGAGAAGGAGCTGACAGAAAACAGGAAGGAAGGAATAAAGTCAAAGACCACTGATACAAGTGTGAATATAAGCCCCAACCAATAAACTATGGAGCTCAAGGCAGCGCAGTGGTTAAGACGCGAAGCAGTTGAGGTCCGTGCCTCGAACGCAACCCTGCCTCCTCGAGCTCCGCCATCTAGGCCTGAGCATCCTGGTAGTGCCTCAGCCTTCATACCTCCTTTTGAGTTGAACGGCAGCTACGTACCACGGCAGAACGATCATTTTACATATTTGTATAGTCTTGTGACAACCTTGCAACCTTATGGGGAAACTGAGGAGATCACGACGTATTTGAAACCCACAGCTAGGATATATCAGCAAGTGAAAGTGTTGCCCAAGCCTAGACACGAAAAGTCAAGATACCAAGGTTGGGCTCGAACCACGGACCTTGTGATCAGTAAGTTTGCGCCGGAACCACTCAGCCATCTCGAACCCGTATGTGCCAACTACTAGTGGTCAACTGTAAAAACTGATTAAAACAGACCCAAAACAATAGGAACAACCACGGACGGCCTCCAGTTCCAACCACACCGGCCAGAACGACATAGACAGTACAACTGCCTTGTGACTTTGAAGGACCCGACGTCTTTTTCCCTCGTTTCAGAGAGAATGCATCGAAGAATAGAGGGGAGGAGATGTCACATCCAAATCACTGTCGCTCTTCACTCAACCACTCTGAACAGTGCTAACTAAAGGGACAGCAGTAAATCCAAGTTTTGTTGTTAAATCCCATCAGGGTTATATATAGTTAGCCACATCCGAGTTCATTTAGATTAGTGTGCAAATTAGTGCATGTCGCTAATCTGCAAGCACTGTTTTTCCAATTTGACTGAGCACGTCAACCAGGAAGGCCTAAGGCAAATATGACAATAAAGTCAGACTACTATAAAATAAATAAGTAGCCAAGGTCATTCCCGCTACGTACCATGCATTTGCTCAGGAGAAATAGACCGCGGGTGTAATCAGAATTATGCATCATGGCAAACTCCGAACCCATTTGAAGGATTTCGCAGGCCGAATTTACATCACGCTCCGTCACATGAGCTTGCTGAAGAATGCAGGAAAGTAAATGTAGGATTAGACGATGGGAAACGGATAGGGTTACAATGTCAGCAAGAGACGAACATTGAACGTACCGCCAATTCAAGCAACAGGCGACAATGCCAGTACGGGTTATTGTTCGAAAGCCGGATAGCATCATTCAATATGCAAGTTGCCTCGTACCGTTTCCCCTGTCACGGGAGGGATGCAGAAATATAAGTAGATGTTGAATTCTCGTCAGGTGGCAGGCGATCGGTGGACAGGGTTACATAAATAATGGAAGAAATAGTCTTAAACGTCCTCGATAAGCGTAAATCAGCCGCGAACTACAGTGTGTTTGGTGAAAAATTACTAGGCGGAAGACGTTGAGGATTTAAACCAAACGGTACAACGAAGAAAAGCAGCTTCGATCAACTTGTTCGCTCACGAAACCAGATAAGAGCAAAGGCAATTGGTGATGCAATCGCTATATGGCCGGTATACGAGTAAGTAATAAATACCAAAGAGAATGGGATTGAAATGGTACTCGTGACAGTAGCTATGCTGTGGAATGTAGGTAGATCGGGTGCGCTACTTGGTTGTTGGTCTGGTCGCCGAGTTTGGCAGTTGGATTGCAAACGAATACCAAAGGAATGGGATTGAAATGGTACTCGTGACAGTAGCTATGCTGTGGAATGTAGGTAGATCGGGTGCGCTACTTGGTTGTTGGTTCGGTCGCCGAGTTTGGCAGTTGGATTGCAAACGTTTCATCATAATCCGTCACAGCCGCAACAAAATGTAACCAGTGCGGTTCTGAGTGCACCTCCTATTATCAGCCCACTACCGACCCATTCCGATGTCACGTCTGTCGTGGATGGAGCGACGATATCCGACTGTTATGCCTCTCTGTTGGGTCTGGCGGAATATTTTCGGACGACAAGTCCACCGAACATGAGATTGGCTGTGCACTGCTTGAAGGCCGTGTTGCATTTTAAACTGCCCGTCAATCTTGAGGCTCGGACACACCTTCAGTTGGGCCGGTTATTGTTCCACTACAGCAAGAGTGACGATCAGACAAAGTATCACTTAGAAAAGGCCAGAACATTAGGTGCCCATCTGCGTGCAAAAGATGATTCGATCAAATTCGAGGCAGCCGCACTTTTAGCCGAGTTCTTCGAGCGCAAAGTAAGTGTGTCTGTTTGTCACATCAAACAAAGTGACCAAATCAACTATCTCGATCCGTGTTGACATTTTTATCCTTGGACTTTTTCTTCTATCAGTCGATGAATTTTTATAAGTGCTGGTTCCAACCTCAGCTGCTACCCGGAAGTATTTTTTCAGAGAAACCGCCAAGTAGGGACTTAATAAATGTTTTGTCATATTTTCAATTGGATCTTGTAAATGGGGCAAAAATATGCCGGGCAGAACTGTACGGTTTCATTCTTCCTTGTTTCCACATCACCTTACTTTAAATCGTTTTGTCTGGGATTTTTCATGTCAGTCCACGCTGAATTGGGACGCATACTTTGGTTTCGTTTCACCATCAACAGTGCGAATTCCCGAAGGTACTAGAATTTGAACCTCAGCCATCCAACATCCAAATCAAGCGCGTTACTATTATGCAAGCTGGACTCATCCGAATGATCACGCAGGAACAAACTAACTTCGCAATTCCCTCGAACACCCGGACGACGATCCAGTAGCTCTCTTAGTTGTATCAATCGATAGACTATTCACCAAGATTTCCGGTTCAGACAGTGCTCCAGAGGCTTGAAACCTTGCTCCAAACCGTCGACAATGCGCATCTCCTGAATTTCTAGCGAGATCTGAACTCACTTGCGCCAGCGGCATAATTGACACTTTTAGAGTTCCAGAAGACAAGTAACGAGATCAGATGAATCTTTTCAGTGGTTTTATTTTCGATGCTAGGAACACCCTAAAAAGTACAAGGGCCCGAAAAACGTCAGGCTCCCCAGGTGTAGACTGAGGTTTTCTAGATGTCAGGGGATGCGGTAAGATCACAGGTAGCTCAGCTCAAGACGTCACCCGGAATCGACGGCGTTAGTATATCAGACTATGTAGACCCTCAACAGACATATGTACCAAAGATGACATTGTCGCGAGTAGTTGTTGCCTAGCTTGGCAGTTGGATTGCAAACGTTTCATCACCAATCGAGGAGACATCATCAGCGCAGGGCTGAGTACACTGATGAAACGTTTGCAATCCAACTGCCAAGCTAGGCAACAACTACTCGCGACAATGTCATCTTTGGTACATATGTCTGTTGAGGGTCTACATAGTCTGATATACTAACGCCGTCGATTCCGGGTGACGTCTTGAGCTGAGCTACCTGTGATCTTACCGCATCCCCTGACATCTAGAAAACCTCAGTCTACACCTGGGGAGCCTGACGTTTTTCGGGCCCTTGTACTTTTTAGGGTGTTCCTAGCATCGAAAATAAAACCACTGAAAAGATTCATCTGATCTCGTTACTTGTCTTCTGGAACTCTAAAAGTGTCAATTATGCCGCTGGCGCAAGTGAGTTCAGATCTCGCTAGAAATTCAGGAGATGCGCATTGTCGACGGTTTGGAGCAAGGTTTCAAGCCTCTGGAGCACTGTCTGAACCGGAAATCTTGGTGAATAGTCTATCGATTGATACAACTAAGAGAGCTACTGGATCGTCGTCCGGGTGTTCGAGGGAATTGCGAAGTTAGTTTGTTCCTGCGTGATCATTCGGATGAGTCCAGCTTGCATAATAGTAACGCGCTTGATTTGGATGTTGGATGGCTGAGGTTCAAATTCTAGTACCTTCGGGAATTCGCACTGTTGATGGTGAAACGAAACCAAAGTATGCGTCCCAATTCAGCGTGGACTGACATGAAAAATCCCAGACAAAACGATTTAAAGTAAGGTGATGTGGAAACAAGGAAGAATGAAACCGTACAGTTCTGCCCGGCATATTTTTGCCCCATTTACAAGATCCAATTGAAAATATGACAAAACATTTATTAAGTCCCTACTTGGCGGTTTCTCTGAAAAAATACTTCCGGGTAGCAGCTGAGGTTGGAACCAGCACTTATAAAAATTCATCGACTGATAGAAGAAAAAGTCCAAGGATAAAAATGTCAACACGGATCGAGATAGTTGATTTGGTCACTTTGTTTGATGTGACAAACAGACACACTTACTTTGCGCTCGAAGAACTCGGCTAAAAGTGCGGCTGCCTCGAATTTGATCGAATCATCTTTTGCACGCAGATGGGCACCTAATGTTCTGGCCTTTTCTAAGTGATACTTTGTCTGATCGTCACTCTTGCTGTAGTGGAACAATAACCGGCCCAACTGAAGGTGTGTCCGAGCCTCAAGATTGACGGGCAGTTTAAAATGCAACACGGCCTTCAAGCAGTGCACAGCCAATCTCATGTTCGGTGGACTTGTCGTCCGAAAATATTCCGCCAGACCCAACAGAGAGGCATAACAGTCGGATATCGTCGCTCCATCCACGACAGACGTGACATCGGAATGGGTCGGTAGTGGGCTGATAATAGGAGGTGCACTCAGAACCGCACTGGTTACATTTTGTTGCGGCTGTGACGGATTAGAATTCATCGTAGGGTCACCAGTAGTCGACGGTGGTTGAGAAACATGTTTGGGCAACGGAACAGAACGTTGGACATGAACTGGAGACCAAACTTGTCCTTGATTGGATGCGACAGAAGCAGAGTTAGGAGTGGATGCGGCACTGGCAGTCGTTACCGAGGGTCGCATAGTCAAGCAGTTGGCACACTACGCATCCCTCATCCACTAAAATACGGTGGACCCTAAAAGCAAACAAACTATGTTCACTGGCCGTAAAAATATTTAAACGTGATGAATGTCGGTCAAATAAGAAGCCAATGGGAAAGCTGCGAAAAAGATACTCTCATCAAGTGGGAGCTAGTTCAGCACGGATTCCAATAGATCGGGAAGGTCTAATATCACGTGGCGAAACCCATGATTAGGTCACTACAATTCACTTCGTCTCATCATGTTAGATATCCAGTATACACGCCACAGCCAAACTTTTCTGTGACCCGAGAAAAAAGGTAGATGAGCCTCCTCATATCTTTGTATGGATCCGGCAACGAAAGATATGCACCGAAAGTAGTAGCTGGCTGCATCAAGACCAATGGGAAAGCAAAAGTAATGGGGAAAAGGGTGGTCAGGCGAGCTGTTGTAATAGGCTAGAAAATATGGAGTACGGTTCGAAATAAACTGTCTCATATCAGTGGCTAAGCAGTGAAGCTAATGGCCGGAAGATTCGCGATTCAAACCCAACCCCGACTTCTCGATTGCCTCCATCTAGGCTTGAGCAACCTGGGGGCATTTCAGCCCTCGTGGTTCCTTCGGGCTGCGTGGGAGCCATGCAACAGCTGAACGATTAATCCTTCGGTTACCAGAAGTCTTCATTTGGTGAAACGCGTTATTCTGTGTCCCAGCAGATAACGGAAAGAAATATCAAACGGGGATCCGGTCTACCTGATAACTATAGTATTATTCGCAACTGTCTTCGAATGTGACCTAGAATGTTTGATGGATGAGACCTGTCGGAAACCAGAAGGCCTAAAGCGCTTGCTTCACGCTTCTGCAGCTGAATACCACTGGAAATGCATAGAATTCCTGAGTTCCAAGGACCGCGGCCATATACGGCTGGTGGTCCGAAGCAAGATCTGAACATGGAGTAATCCTATCTTTTTTCTAAAATTAGACATCACAAATAAACTGGAGGCCAAAATGAGTAAAGGCCGATTTGGTAAAACACAATCAGGTGTTCCGTTACGTCCATCAGAGATTGACTGATTGACTACTACTGTTCAGGCTTGGGCGACCTGGCGATATCACAGCCCTCATGCTCCCTTCGGATGGCATGGCAGCTAGGCACCGAAAGCTACAGCTGTACAATTTTTTCAACATTCTATAACGCACGAAGCAGGGGGTTGATGGAATTTGAAGACATCTTTCAGCATCCGACTTTGAGGCATCTCAGTTCATGCGAGGCGCTGTGTGGTAGAAAGTCTAGCTTGGGTCCAAGGCACAATGATAACGGTGAAAATTTATACAGACCACCAGTTACTTCTCAGCAGTGCTGGGTTTAGACGCCTTGACGCCGCAAAGACTACCTGGCGTCCCACTACCGCCGAGCAGCCATGGAGTCGAATGGGACATGTCGCTATCAGCTACAGATGATGCAGTTCAATCCTTAACTGTCGAGTGTTCTGAAGGACACACGTTGATTCAGATCATGCTACTGTTAGGTTCAGACTTTCCGATAAACAGAAGAATGAGCTCAAAATTTAGCAGCATTTGCTGCCAACATTGAAACACAACCTACGAAAGCACACCAACCATGCAAGCGGCCTCTCCGAGGTAGACTGACTGTAAGTGGGATGAGAGAAACTTTCAGCTGTAACACCTTTCCGGTGCCTAGCTGTCATGCCACCTGAAGGAAGTACGACGACTGGGATACTGCCAGGCTGCCCGAGCCTAGCCAAGAGTGAAGGTGGGGAAATCGATTTCGAACCACGAACTTTACGGTAAATTCGCGTTCGAACCACTGAACTATCTCACCACAATACTCAGATGTGCTTAATTCAATGCTGCGTGAGTAAGACATGGGCTTTTTCACACCATGTATTATGACTCCCTTTTGTTTCTAATTGTTACTAAGGATTTCTTCCTCAAATTACAGTTAGGCACCAATGTGGTCCATTTTTCGAAGCACGAACTTAACGACCGGAAAGTCCGTGGTTCGAACACAAGCTCAATCAGCCCTTCTAATTTCGTTGGGTAGCACGGTATTTAGGCACCTGAAAGACGTCACAGCTTGAGGATTATTTCTTATTGCTTTATTTCTGTCAGTGATGACGATGATGATGAAATCCTGGTCTTAGTCATGTTGGTGGATGAAGTTTGCCACGGTTGGGGACCAAGGACTCCCCNCGGAACGCCAGGAGACTGTGCTTGTTAGACCTCTATCCATTGACTAACCTGGTATAAAACTCTGTGAAAGCTGAGTTTCTGTCTTATCCAAGTGCTTAATGGGTTGCTAAGGTGCGCAAACCGTCGTACCACGATAAAGACTAATCTGATTGCGGTGGTACCTTGTAAAATGATGCATAAAATAAGGCTATCGAAATGAAGTTAACTGAAGAAATTCTTTGATTATAGGGTGGCGCTTTCATATTCAGAAGTGTCTGAAAACCCGCACTTAGAATGACCATAATGTTGAAAACGCTGCTGCTGAAGATCTCGAAATCAAACACTCATTAAGAGTACAAGGTTATCACGATCGGATCTTACGACGGTATGACCTTCATAACCCACCAAGCTATACATGGAAGCATACTTGGGACGTTGACAGGGCCTCCGATAACAGGTCGACCCACCGAAAAGGCTTGACCAGCACAGTGTTTTGGTCCTACAGGCTAGGAGTTACAAAATTTACGACAACTTGCACCGTAGAAGCTTCAGACAACTGTGGCGGTTAAGTCAACCATTTCAGCCTTTCGGTTCGGCTTTTGGACTAAAAACTTTGATTGATGATCCTAATTGTCCTCTTATCTAATCAAGGGCACTCTTGCAGTACTCCAGCCCACGTACAATCATTAAGCGACCAAATTCAAATAACTTCATGCCAAATCGGCCGTCACGTGGTACCACAAGCCGGATTATCCTATTTGCTGTATACACCAAGGCAGATAACCGAAAACAGGTGACTGCTGAAGCCTCTCTCATTTCACGTTTACGGATTCACTCCGCCCATCCTCGCCCTGTTGATAAAGACATCCTCGCAGACATTCATGAGAACGCACAGATCCGTTCAACGCCAACTGTTACTAGCTGCAACAGCTATGCTCCGCTCCGCCGCCAGGGCCGTAGAAGCTCCGAAATCATTCTTTGAATTCCGACGCCCAATTCATTCGGTAGCTCTTTTAAAGTCTACTGTGCCCCTGAGTCGAGGATTAAACATCCAAGTACAGCAGTTAAACTGACCTCCCAAACGGTTTCTTCTCGATTCCCGTTGCACAACTCTGGTGATCCAGAGGCCGCCACAACTGAGTCCACCGTCGTTTGTACTGTTGAACCATCAAGTTCAATGGTCCCTGCTTTATTGGACACTGGCTGATATTCACCTGTGCACGGCTCGCTGGGCAACGTCTGTGAAGGCATCCCGCAGACACATCAGTTATCGGTACCATTTGTTTCGAGACGCCCGAACAATTCCCGCTGCAGCTGTGTGCTGCCCAGACTATTTTGCGCAATACAAAGCTCCGTCAGTCAGTCATATGGTGTTCTCCACGAGCGAGCCGGCCTCCTACGCGGACAGACCAGACCACCATCAGCCATAGGTGGCGTCGATCAAGTACTGATCACCGCTCACTCTGGAACAGCCGTGTGGATTATGGTCAAGCGTCTGTCCATTGTTGCTCCTCTTTGTGNAGATTGCTTAGATTTTGCTCTCTTCGCTTAGCCTCCGGTGGTTTATCATCCTTTTATACTTTGCCAGGGGGTGTAGCGACCGAAACTAGCGCACTCATACACGCTGTTGTGAAACAGAGCAGAACAACAACGCAGTAGTAATTCGCATAAGACCAGAGGGGTAGTTTAACTATTTCGGGGAACGATGTGCCATACACGGTCCAACCCCAACCCGGAACGCCAGGAGACTGTGCTTGTTAGACCTCTATCCATTGACTAACCTGGTATAAAACTCTGTGAAAGCTGAGTTGCTGTCCTATCCTATTGCTTAATGGATTGCTAAGGTGCGCAAACTGTCGTACCACGATAAAGACTAATCCGATTGCGGTGGTACCTTATAAAATGATGCATAAAATAAGGCTACCGAAATGAAGTTAACTGAAGAAATTCTTTGATTATAGGGTGGCGCTTTCATATTCAGAAGTGTCTGAAAACCCGCACTTAGAATGACCATAATGTTGAAAACGCTGCTTCTGAAGATCTCGAAATCAAACACTCATCAAGAGTACAAGGTTATCACGATCGGATCTTACGACGGTATGACCTTCATAACCCACCAAGCTATACATGGAAGCATACTTGGGACGTTGACAGGGCCTCCGATAACAGGTCGACCCACCGAAAAGGCTTGACCAGCACAGTGTTTTGGTCCTACAGGCTAGGAGTTACAAAATTTACGACAACTTGCACCGTAGAAGCTTCAGACAACTGTGGCGGTTAAGTCAACCATTTCAGCCTTTCGGTTCGGCTTTTGGACTAAAAACTTTGATTGATGATCCTAATTGTCCTCTTATCTAATCAAGGGCACTCTTGCAGTACTCCAGCCCACGTACAATCATTAAGCGACCAAATTCAAATAACTTCATGCCAAATCGGCCGTCACGTGGTACCACAAGCCGGATTATCCTATTTGCTGTATACACCAAGGAAGATAACCGAAAACAGGTGACTGCTGAAGCCTCTCTCATTTCACGTTTACGGATTCACTCCGCCCATCCTCATCCTGTTGATAAACACATCCTCGCAGACATTCATAAGAACGCACAGATCCGTTCAACGCCAACTGTTACTAGCTGCAACACCTATGCTCCGCTCCGCCGCCAGGGCCGTAGAAGCTCCGAAATCATTCTTTGAATTCCGGCGCTCAATTTATTCGGTAGCTCTTTTAAAGTCTACTGTGCCCCTGAGTCGAGGATTAAACATCCAAGTACAGCAGTTAAACTGACCTCCCAAACGGTTTCTTCTCGATTCCCGTTGCGCGACTCTGGTGATCCAGAGGCCGCCACAACTGAGTCCACCGTGGTTGGTACTGTTGAACCATCAAGTTGAATGGTCCCTGCTTTATTGGATACTGGCTGATATTCACCTGTGCACGGCTCGCTGGGCGACGTCTGTGAAGGCATCCCGCAGACACATCAATTATCGGTACCATTTGTTTCGAGACGCTCGAACAATTCCCGCTGCAGCTGTGTGCTGCCCAGA